CCTGGCAGCCAGAGACAAAGGCCAGGGGAAGAAGGAGGCAATTCTTCCCATGATTTGGGGTGGAGGTGGGTAGAGGACCCATTCTCTGCCTGGAATTCCTCTTATGGAGGGAGACAGTTGGTTTGATGGCCTGGGGTTCTTTGGAGTCGCCAGCTTCGGTTTGAGAATGCTTCTGCTACTAACTAGATCTCTCCTCTCTGCGTTCCCACAAAAATCTTGACAGGGTCCCATTCCCTGCTCTTGTAACTCTGAGAAAACGATCCTTTCATTTCCAAAGGATCTCCTTATTTGGAGAGACATTGGTCGGTTGAGGAGAGACTGAGAGTCCACTCCATTTTCCACGAAAAAATGGAAGGTGGAATTGGGGTGAGCAACGGAAGCTTGGGCTCCAAAGGCCGAAACCCCAGAGGTGGAGCGGAGTTCACCGCGCAGTGAACCCGCTCGGCCGGCCACGCAGCCCGCGGCCCCCGCCCCGCGTCCTATTGTCCGCCCTGCGAGCCCGGGGTCGTGACCCAGCTGAAGGCGACATCGCGCCTGGAGCGGACGCGGCGTGGAACCCGGAGGAGGAGCTGGGCCGCCGCCGGCCTCTCGCATCTCTCCTTTGCACAGGCTGGCCCCATTTCGTGATCCTCCAGACCCTGGCCGCTCCGAGGAGGGGAGCCCGGACCCCCGAATGAAGGCCGCCGCTTTTTGCCCCGTTCTCTTCCGCCCGGCTTCCTGAGAAGCCAGATGTGGGGAGCGGGAGCCTACAGTTGGACTATTTGGCAGTGCCTCTGACGCGCTCTGATTTAGGGTTTCTCCGCCCGGAAGTTCAAATATACTTCCCTCTCCCAATCTCTGATGCTGGGAAGAGGGTCAGAAAGGAGGAGTGAGTAGAGGTGAGGCTGCTCTGGGCTGGACCCATACCCCATCACGGCTGGCAGAGCAGCATCCTAGAGGACCCTACATCTTAGGGAATCTGGCAATTGCTGATGGGGACTGGAAATTTAAAATAGTCCCTTTCTATTAATTTTGTAATCCTTTTCACACTCAAACATACTCTGACCTTCCTACCCATCCTTGTCTCCCCTGCCTCCTAATATATCAGCCAGCTGGGCCTGCAGGGATCGGCAGGGTGGAAGATAGCAGAGGACTTTATCCCTGCTTGCATGGATATGGGCTTGGCTTTTGGATGGACCCTGTGCTCAAAAAAGCTACAGGGCTGACACTAGAGAGAAGAGCAGGAAAATCCTAAGGTGTGGAGGGAGAGCTAGATCTGGTAAAAGGCTCCTGGACCTGAGGGGCCATTAGCAGACCTTGGTCTCTCTCTGCTCCCCAAATAATCCGAAAGGGGTCCAAGCTCCTGGAGTCTCACATATTTTAAGGTGGCTGAGGGAGCCCTTCAGGTCTCCGATTCAAACACTGCACCCTACCATTTTTAATTCTCAAGATCTTGGCAGATAAACTCAGATACTCAATGCAGCCACATGCTGCAGTTGAAAAATTAAAACGGGGCTAGCGATATGGGATGCAGAAAAAGCAGGCCGAGGAGGATGGTCAGTTCTATCAGAAAGATTGGTCACAGGCAAAGACCTTTTTTCCCTTCTAAATCCCCCACATGTTTATTTTGGTCCCCTACCCACCCAGATAAATCAAGCTAACAGATTAGGAAGTTCATAAAATTGTACTCTTAGGTAATGATACCCAGAGAGGTAATAAATATTCCCTCTGTTCTGATGGCTGCTGGAGTTGGGGAGTTCCTCCATCGCTTTTTCCTAGCCTGAGGAGGATTTCTTGAAAGGGGAACATTTTCATAAGAATTCGCTCTCCAAATTTGGGGTGCTGGATAGAAGCTGTGTAAAACCATGAGAAGTGACTTTGTAAACCACACTCCCCCAGCACTGGGCAAAAAGCAGAGAAAAAGATGGTGAGATTGCCCCAGCTCACTGCTCCTCCCCACCATAGCAGCCTCCACCCCAAGGACCCCCTTCAGAGTCAGTCTTCCTAATCTTAGAGAAGCAGTCAAACCGTGCCTAGTAGAAGAGCATCCTGGCCCCAAGCTCCGGAGAACCCTCTAATTGTTTTCTCTTCCTTATCACTGCCCCAAATGCATGCATATACACACATCTAACAGCAGGAAGATGTCTCTGGATTGCAATCCGCCCAGTCCACGCTGGAAAAAAGCTGATGCACAGATTGTAGAAGAAAACTTTGTAGGAAACTTCACACAAGCGGCAGTGAGAGGCCCTCAGAGAAACAAAGTTTGCTAGTCCTCCCCCCACCCCCAGGCTCACTTTCTCGGCTCGCTCTCTCTCCTTTTTGAGCCAAGTTTCTTCATTCCCCAGGTACACAACTTGGCACAGAAACTCCCATTTGTCCCAAGCAGAAACCCTCCGTTCCTGATTGGACTTCCCGCCTTCCCTCCCCAAGACCGGGAGTTGAGATAAAAATTGAATGGCAAACAGAGATAGAGTTGAAACTGCTGGGCTCTCGCCCCCAGAGCAGATCAGTGCTAACTACTTACATGTCAAGGGGATGTTTGACCTGTGGGGATCTCCTGGTGCTTGGAGAGAAGGACCTTGGAAGATTGGTGTCGCCCGTTTTCACCCCGTCTTCTTTTTTACTTAGCCATTGGAGAGAGAGACACAATACGCTAGCAGGCATTCATGCGCCTTGCCTCTCCCATTACTCGGGGCAAGAAATCCCCAGCCCTACAAAAGCAGTGGCATCCTATCTGGAGACCAGGGGCTGAGCCAGGGCTGGCTTGGGAGGGTCGGAGATGGGGGTGGGGGAGAGGTCAGAGGCACTGCCGAATATAAAGGCGATGGGAGAGAAAATGCTGTGTCCTCCCCGTGAACCTGGGCTGTGTCCTCCCCGCCCCCCCTCAGCCTTTCCCCACTGCTCAACCCAACTTCAATAAAAGCCCCGACCCTCAGCTTCCCAGTGAGGCTGCAGCAGTAGCCCGTGGAGCAATAGCGGCGGGGACCAAGACAGCTGGAGCTAGGGGCCCCGGCCCAGGTTGGCCCCCCACATCCGACATCCCACGCCTCCCCAGCAGCCCGATCCCATTCTGGGTGGTCAGGTCCAAGGCAAGGGAGAGGTCTGGGGAAAGAGGAGAGAATAGAACCCATGGGAGGAAAGGCCAGAGGCCAGAGTTTTCAAAAACTCAAATGTAAGGGAGTTGAGTTTTATTTTATTTGTCACAAACTATGGATGTCTGATGCTTCCCCTTTCCAGACCGAGAGGGACAGAGAGAGACACACACAGATTGACTATGTGTGTGTGTGAGGAGAGGAAGGGAAAACAGAAGCCCTTAAAGAAGGAAAAATAAAAGGACTACCCCAATCGTTTTATGTTGCTCTTCCTGAGCAAGAGTGTGTCCCTTCAGCAAGCTCAGGGAAAAGCTTAAGACATAAAAAAAAATAGTGATTTTCCCCCTCCTGGCTTTCATCTCTTCTACTTTAGGGAGGAGAGGAAATAAATTCCCTAAAACCAAATGAGCAAAGTTAGGAAAGGTCTATGGCTCTTAATTTCCATTTCCCCTTCTCTCTCCATCTCAGCTTCCTTACGGGATTGGAAAGATACACGGGTCCTCCCCTCAGACCCTCCTTTGCTTTTCCCAAGTACAGCTAGATCCCGTTTTCCTGCCCCAAAGTCAATTCCCTCAAGATGATGGGAGTTACAGTCCTATTTGGCCCCTAATTCACTTGATTACATAAAATCACTCCAGATAATTGTTGGCCCTCCTTCCTCACACTGTAGACAGCATGTTTTGCTGTCCCCAGGGCACCATCGAGGGAGGAGAAAGTAGACCTACAGGACCAAGTGATTCCCCCCAGCACACCCACATGCACACACACAAAGTACCCGCCAGCAAATGGTTCAAGAGGAAATAAATCCAAAGCATACCAGATTTTCATAACTTTGTTTCTCTATTACCTTTCACTCCAGAATCTGGGGAGAGAGGACAGCTGTATCCCTGGCTCCCCTACATACCCCAGGTCTCTTCTCCCTCCTTCTTCTACCTCTGATTAGTCCTCCATCCTGAAACTTGGACAAACTGCCTGAGAAGCTCACCAACTATCCCCTCACCTTCTCCCAACAAACAAGCAAAAATCTGAGCAAGCCTTGCTTAGGGCCTGAATTCTTTGGAGACTTTGGCTTAAATTAATTATTCAGGCAGTCTAGCTCAGTTTTTTGTTTGTTTGTTTAACCCCGCCTCCTCCACCAAGGAAATAATTAAAAAACTTTTTTTTTTTTAACAGCCAGGCACTCTTCTTCCGTCTGTCCCCAAGCCCTGCGGGGACCTGGGAGGTTTAGGAAGAGGGGTGGTCCCTGCCTCTCTCTGTGTATTTTCTCAACACCTGGCAGGTCCACGATAAAAGTTAGGGGGGAAAAAGAAAAATGCTTCATTATCTCCAGGCATCAGGCTTTGAGGCCTACCCATGCAAGGGGGCCTCCCAGGCCTCTGGCCTCCACTTTGCCCTTCTTTCCAAGTCTAAACAAACAGAGAAACCATCCTGACAGGTCACTTTGCTGCTTCAGAATCACCAGCTCAAAATGTTTCTTCTTTTAAGGAGAACAGGCATATTGAGAGGGCATCTTCCTTAGTCCCTCATCCCCTAAAGAGCTCCAAAAGATGAAAACTCTTCTTCCCTCCAACTCCATACACTTGCCTTCTAGTCTGCAAACTAGGCAGGCCTACTCAGCAGAGGGAAGGGAGAAGGGAGGGGAGGGAAATAGACAAAAGAAGGCACTGTGCTTAACTATAGAAAAGTGAACCCCCCCAGCTCCACTCTAAGTACCCCCAAGAGAGTCTGGCCTCTGCAAACTCAGGGAGAGATCAGCCCTAATCTTCCACATCCCCTCTACCATTTGCTGGTCCTTCTGAGGACACTGGGAAACTGGAGTTAAGATTGGTGTGTTTGTTTGGAGTAAACTTAGGCAGCTATATAGAGAAGGTGGGATGTTACCAGGCCAGAAAGAGGAGGTGGGGGAAAAGAAACCATCAGACACTGAAGTAAAACTAATTCACATCCACTGGTTTATTATTGATCACGGGGCATTTCACATCGACACTAAAATTCTTTATTGCAAGTTTTACAATAATCAAGGAAATTCAGTCCAAAAACACAATAACCACGATGAGGGGAGAGGGTATTCTACCTATAGACTGCCTTTCTGAGCTGAAAGTTCATCTTTATTTTCTTTTGGCTCCTCAAACTGAACAGCTCTGAGAGGCTCTCCAGATGCATTTAGCTTTGTCTGCTGTCTTCCCCACTCTCCTCCCAGCTCCCCCCAACAATAATACAAAAGAACTTCATAGCTTTGTTCTCCTTAAAATGACTTCCCCCTCACTAACCTCCCCTGGTGCATTTTCAATGCAAAAGGCCTAAGGAAAGAGGGGGGAAGGAGCAGGAGGAGAAGAAAGATGAGAATTGGCTTAAAATCTCTTTCCTTTTTTCTTTTCCTCATTTCCCCTGAAATGCACCCAAACCAGACCATCACACCTTGCAATATATAATTTTTGCAGCTTTTTTTCCTTAAAAAATAAATAACCCCCCCCAAAATGGCCTTTAAAAAAAAAAACCCCAGCAGGTACCATGCTAAGACAATATCACATGCTTAAAAGGGTCCTTAACAGTGGAAAAGAGAGAAGGGCAGGGGGCTTGTTTGTTTATCTGTTTTGTCTGTTTGGAATTGACAAGGGATAAGGTGGGAGGAAGAGAGAAAAGAACCAAAAATATATATATATATTAAATTCTATAAATAAGAGTCAGTTTGTGTGTGAGGGGAGGATGGGGGCCTGGGGTGGGGGCAGGGTGTGAGTTATGTTTTATAACCTGGTAATATCCTCTGCCCGTTGCTGCTCCGGCGGCGTGGCGCTCTGGGAGTGGTCTTCAGAAGTGCCCGGGGTGGCTGCCGAGAGGGTGCTGGGCGCAGCGCCGGCCGGGGGCGCTGACCTGACTTTGGTGTTGGGGAGTCGGTGGTCCTTCTTCCATTTCATGCGACGGTTTTGGAACCAGATTTTGATCTGCCTCTCAGAGAGGCACAGCGAGTGGGCGATCTCGATCCTTCTCCTTCGGGTCAGGTAGCGATTGTAATGAAACTCTTTCTCTAATTCCAGGACTTGCTGCCGGGTGTAGGCTGTCCTCGAGCGCTTGGGTTCCCCTCCGTTATAATTGGGGTTCACTGGGGGGCAGGGGAGGGGAAAAGCAAATAGTGGGGTTCAAAGGCAGCAGGCTCCCCGCCCCCCACCCTCACCCCATCTTCAGCTCCGTGGAACAGGAGGAGGGGGTGGTGGAAATAAAGTCATCAAGCTAAACGGGTTATAAAGAAGTTGAAGGAAGCTGGAGACTTTGTAGTGTAATAAGAGGGGAATCCTCATTGTAACGACACTGAATTATTTATGCGCCCTTAGAAAGCGAGCATAGTTTTCACACATACATAACAGATCGTAGCACATGGCTCGGACTGCCCAGAGTAGCTAAGCCATAAAATTTATGGGGGATGTAATTACCCATTCTCGCTCGTAAATCCAGTTCAATTGTGCTAACCCAGAGTCGCTCCTGGAGAGAGAGGGGGAAGGAGAGAAAGGAGGACGGGGCCGGAGGGGGCCAAGGAGGGTGGGGAGCGCTGGGGAAGAGGGGAGGGAGGGGGAGAGCAAAAAGCAAAGTTGCCTACCCGTGCTAACGTGGATTTTTTTCATCCATGGATAGACTATGGGTTGCTTGCTGGCGGCGCTGGAGGGATGGTCAGGGGCTGGCTGGCTGCAGGCTGGCGGGGCTGGGGACGGGGAGGCGGAGGCGCCTGAGAGAGGCGCCGGCTCGCAGAGCGGCTGTGATTTCTCGGGGTGGTGGTGGCCCGCCTGGGCCGGCCCGTGGCCTCGCGAATTGCCCGGCCCCTGGAGACTGGTGCAGCTATACTGGCGCTCAGGGTAGCTAGGGCGCGGAGGCGGTGGTGGGTACAGCTCCTGGTGGTGATGCTGGAATCCCGATTCCCTGGTCCGGCCGTAATATTCCGGACTGTGTTCAGGGATGTAGCTATTTTGCGAATATTCTTCGCATGGAGGAAATTTCGGATCGATGTAGTTAGAGTCCATCAAATACGAGCTCATGATCATTAATTTCTGGAGTGGAAAATAATTTTTCTCGCTTTGTCGTTTTTCTGCTCCATAAAGCCCTCCTACTAGCTAGCGACCCTGTAAAGTTACTTTCACCATGTGACTCCGCCGGCCAATCACACGGAGCAACCCAGTCCCCGGATAAGGAACCGAATCGCTTTATTCAAAATGTATCCAATTTTTTTTGTGTGTGGTGGTGGTGGTGGTGCTGGGGGGTGGTGTGGTGGTGAGGTGGGGTTAGCTGGCAGGGGCTGGGGTGCCCCCAAAGCACACCCCGCCGACTGACAACCCTCCCCTGCAAAAGAAGATGGGAACCCCCCAGCTCCCTTCCAAAGCCTGGGCACTGGGGGTCTGTCGGGAGGCTGTGATTCAGCCCCCTCCCAAGGTCTCCCTTTGGGCCTCCGGTGGGCCCCTTGGGCCTCTGCTCCTGAGCTTTTCCAGAGGTCTCCATTCATGGCGATCCTGTCTCAGTCCGTGTAGGTCATCGGGCAGCGCCCCTCTTTCGCAGGAAGAGGAAGTTGAATGAGGACTGGAGTGGAGGTTGGATGGGGAGGAGCCCAGGCTGAGCCCAGGAGGCTGGTGGGCCTGGGGTGCCCCCCCATCCAAGGATACCAGAGTCCAGCCCCCTTCCCCATACACACTCACCCAACCCTCTGGCCATGGGGCTGGCGAGGCAGGGTCCCAGCTGGACCGGGCAGGTAGAGGCAGCGGGATGCAAATGATTCTGACGTCATTTCTGGAGGTCTGGGGGTTGAACCCCCGCTGAAGAGAGACAGGAAGTGGTTGGCAAAAGCAGAGTTCAGAAGCCTTGCCCTCCCCAAGTACCCACTGACCCTCCCTGCCCAGACCGGAGTAGAGGATCTCTTCTGCTGGCTGCTGTTTCCTCTCTCCATTCTGCCCGGCCTGCTGCTTTCTGACAACTACCACTAAGGCTGGTTCCTAAGGAGCTGGGGCAGGGAGGAGAGCAATCTGCCAGGGGTCAGTGCCCTGGTACCCAGCCATGGCCCTGGGAGCACTACTTTTTCCATCTCCACACACAGCAGACCTAGCTAAGAGGGAGGCCTGCGTGGGTAGATCCTGCTTCCGGCCAGGGATTGTATCCATGTAACACACGTGTTTACATGTAAACACGTATCCCCAAGGGCCAGCTCTAGGCTGCCTTCCAAAAGCTGAAGGGTGAGCTCACGATTCTGGGGAGGCTGGGAAGGACTTGGGGGTCTTCAGTCCCTTCCTGCCCCCTCCCCTCTCTCTGCCAAGCCACCCACAGGGATACCCTGATGGTGGGGTGGCAGGGCCATGGAGGAGGGAGGAGACAAGGAAGAGATGTTTTCAGGCCCCCCCCCCAGCTAGGGGTGGCCACGTCATGCCACCAATTCCAATTAAGTGATCCCATAACTCAGAGTTGGGGGAGGGGGGTGGCAGAAGGGAGAGCCCAGGGAGGGAGCCGGGTCCCCTTGTTGTACTTGATAACAATTATAGCTTAAAATCATAGCTTGCCGGGGCTCGGCTATATTTTACTTGATAACAATAAAAGTGACACATAAAGTTAACTGTTTATGTTTTATTTATTAGACTAAATCTGCCAGCGGTGGTAGGAGCGCTTGCCTCGTCGCTACAGCTTTTATAGGGCTGTAAAACGTCATAAATCAGTCTCGCGGAATCGCCCGCACTCTTTGTGTCGGCGGCAGCGCAGGGCTGGCGGCCGCTGGCTGCCTGCTCCCTCCTTTCCACGAAAAGTCGTAATGTGATTTTTTTCCCTCTGATTTTATTATTATGATCGCCGCTGTGATTAGTCAATCTACCTTTAATTCGCCGCCCTATGCTGCCTCCTCCCAGCCCAGCCTGGTTGACACTTGAATAAGTACCTTTTAAAACGGCATAACAACTATTTGAGGGTTTAATTAGAACATCTGCAATTAAGGGAATGAGGAGGGAAAATGGAAAAAAAAATGAAACCCTTGTGAGAGAGAGACTGAAGGGAGATTCTCAACCTGTCTCTCACCACCTTTGGGATGCTAGAGAGGTCCCCACTTCCAAATTTAGGGTTCACCCTGAGGGGTGAAATGGGAGCTGGGCCACAGCCGATGCCAAAAGGGACTGATTCCCCCTGCCTGGGCCCCTGGCCACCTTCCCTCCGGCAATGCTCCAGCCCCCTACCCTCACCCCTGGCTCACCAGGAGCCGGTGCTTGGGGTCCCTGGATATCTTCTCCCCAAGAGGACAGTGTCCACCCCCTGCCACCAAGTGGGTGAGAGAACCAGAATTCCCTGGAGGTTGACCATCTCTTAGAGGAGATTCTGAAATCTCCTGAGTTGGTTGAGAGCGCCTGCCCACTCCTGTCCGGGACCCACTGCATGCAAGGACTGGCTGGTTTGGTTGGAAGAGGAGCTTGAGACTGTGAGAAGGGGAAGGCTGCTGCTTGGTTGAGAGTGGTGAATGAGGATTTTATTTTTTGTAATTATTGTTGGAGGGGTTCATCATAAGTTGCTAGAAGTGGCAAAGGGAAACCAATGCTGACTGCTGACCTACATAAAAAGTCTAAACCCAGCCCCAGATTGCCCAGTAGGGTGAGTCAAAGCTCTAGAGGGCTCAAGTAGGGTGGGGGTAAGGTTGCTGGAGGAGAGAGCCTTCCTGCCCCACCCCCATTCTCCCTGCTAGGCCCACACCTGGGTAAGACTGCCCCACCCTATCCTGGCCCGGAATATTCTCGGTCTCTACCTGGCTCCCCTCCTCCCAGCCCTCACATTTACCTTCTACCAGCCCTGCCCCCGTCTCAACCTGCTTTTCTTCAATCTCTACACCCTCTTGGGCTTGTTAGGGAGTCCTTCCTAATGCATTGCCCATCCTACACCCGCGCGCCCCAGGATGCTGAGCTCCTGCAGGTGGGTCCAGGGAACAGGGAATGGGATGAGGAAACCCACTTCAGGCCAGTATGTGTAAGTAGATCCAGAGAGTTCAGATGCCTCCAACCAAATGTCAAATCTGTTTTTGGTTATTATTGCTAACAAATATATATGCATTCATCCTATTAATATTTATTAATGTATTAAATGCCTCCTTATGCAGCCATAAATATGTGAAGTTTTTCATTCCAGGTTTGCACAGCTAAAGCAACATGCTCATTCAGAAAGTGAAATCTGCAAGGTTCCCCCAAATATGCCCACACTCTACCTCATTTACCAAAAAATACTCTCTTTAGTCTCCCATATCTTCATAGCAAGGAAGTCGCCTATCACATGGGGAAAACAGCAAGCCAGACTCCACCACACACATACATGCAAACATTTTCACCTGAATATTGTTGCAAGCACAGAAATAAGATTCCTTCGGAGGGCTCCTGTACTTAGCATTGGCTTAATAGGGTTGGGGGGGTGGTTCTAAAGCGGCTCTTGCCTGCAATGAATCCCTGTATCTCCTTTTGTGCTCTGCCCTCCTGCCTCCTGCCTCACCAGCCCAAGGATCTCCAGCCCCAGCTCTGCCCTCCACTTCTCTCTGCCCCAATTTTATTTTTTATTTTTTCCGATCACCTTTTGCCAGCCTCCAAACAATTACTCTCCAGATGCCACCCTCCTCCCCCACACACACAACTGCTCCAATCTCCTTTCTAAATCTTGATCTAGTTTCTCTTTCGGAAACACGTTTCAGTACAAAGCGCTTCCCTTCTGACACCGCTGAAGAAAAATATGTGTCCATTGTGTGCGAGGCCTTATTGTGCCCGGATTACCATACTGACCGTTGGATAACCCATATTCCTCCCCTCCCCAGTAACAAGCTGCCGGCTGAGAGACCTCAGCGGCTCCACAGATTCTGTGCTGCATTAAAATCTCACCTCTCAGACTCCCTGGATTTTCCTAGGGAGAAAAATAAGTGGGAGAACCAACCCAGGATTTGGAAGGCAAAGAGGAGGAAAATGAGGGTCATTCCATCCCCAACTCTCAGAAGAGCAGGATTTGTGTTTGTGTGTCTGGTTTTTGTTGTTTTAGAGATTAAAAATTGCAATGTGTCTCTTTCCTTTTCCTCAAAGAAATTGACTTTTAGAGGGTATACAATCCAGTAATTCATTTCATTTTTATTTTTTCCTCCAAGCAACTTGAAAACCCCAAACTAAAGCAGGACTCTTATCCCATTTCCCCCTCTGTGTGTTTGTGTGTGTGTATGTATATATATGTGTTTTTGTCCCTTTCTAATGCCAGCAGGCAGGGCTAATGTATGCAAAAGAATATGCAAATGCTTAATTGATTTTTTCTTAAATCTCTTGTCAGTAAAAGTAATGAATTGGTCTAAAATGATTTTAATAACCCAGACGTGTCACCAGAAAATACTCAACCTTTTTTTTTTCTCCTGGAATCGCTTATAGTCTCAAAAAAAAAAGCAATCATGGAATGTTAATTTGCCCCCCTTTAAAATATTAAAGATGAATTTCTCTTGTTTGTTTGGAGACCATAGGCAAGGTTCTCTCATGGATTTCCCCCTCCTTGCTTTGCCTTCCTTGGAATTCAATTTTCCTCAAATCTCGTTTAAAGTGGCTTTTTAAAAAGTGGCCGCATTTTAATATTGGTTAGACAGGGTGACCTGCATTTCACCTCGGGTGTTTGACTTGTTCCAATAGGTCACTGCCATGGGGTTATTGATGGGGAAACTCCATTGAAATTTGTCTCTTCGCAAATGGCCTTTAGATCTTCCAGCGAGTTCAATAACTAGTTATAATGTGGAAGGGGAAAAATGAAGGCCCTGGGCTAACGAATTTGATGTTTCATTTTTATGCTGGAGAAATTGTTAGTTAGAGGTTGGGTTCCCCACCCCCTTCCTTACTCATCCTGGCCTCACTGAACCCCCACTCTGGTCCGTGGCTGCTGGATTGTATCCCCTTAAAAACTTGGGCTGGGGTGTCCCATTCTCCCTTTGATGCAGCTTTAACTCTTCTTATTGTTGCCGTTGTTGTTGCTGAAAATTCTGACTTAGGGCTGCAGGAAGCCTGCGCTGCTGAAGATTTCTAACCTGAACTTTTCTGTTAGAGGGGAAAGGACTTCTACTTGTAAAGGAGTCTAAGTGTGGTTTTGAAAGATCCAGGAATTAGGCTGGCTTTAGGGTAGCTTACAGAGAGCTCCCTGACCTGGTGCTCCCAGAATTAAGAAGCCAATAGGAAGCTGGGATGCCTTTTGGGGGCTGATGAGGGCATCTCAAGATGCTCTAATCTGTTCTGGGCCTTTGAGCTGCTGGAGACCCAGGGGATGGGGCACCCGGGACCAAGGAAGGCAGAGACTGGGAAAGGTGAAGGATAGAGGAAGAATTCCATGAAGCAGGCAAGGGGGGTCCTCCAGGGTCAAAAACAGAATTCATAGAGACCTGGTCGGGTAACTGCTTGCTGAACCTCGTAAGAAGGGTACCCGGCAAAAGCCCAATGCCCAAGAAGATGCATTTTAGTGAACTGGAGAGATCAGAGGAAAAATGATGGGAGGTGATAGCGATTTTATAAGTTTCTTTCTTTTTCTGGAGTTCTTAAGGAATGGGAGAGGAAAGGGCAGGAAAAGGCAGGGAAGGTCTTTATTTTATTCTCCTCAACCACAGCCAAGCTGGGGAGCCAGCCGTTGACTTCTCCAGAGAAGACTCTATGGGAAAGGGTGGTGGAGAGGTTGTCCTCTTCCGGCTACCCAGCCACACCTGATCATTATCATTATTAACCTCCATAATAAGAATATCCGTCCTTCACAATCAGAGCTCCCTGGGTACCTTATTTTCTTCTTCTAGGAACTGTTCCTTCTCCTTCCCTGCTCACAGGGGTCCAGTTAGCTCAGGCCCAAGTTTCCCCTTAATAAGGCAACCCACCTCCCTTCCAAGCCTCAGCCCATAGATGGGAGTCATTTCAAAGACAAGTCTTGATTTCTGGGTTGGAAGAATCAAGGCCGAGGACAACATGTTCGTGCCTAAAACTAGGGTGCCACCTCCCTCCATCCCCTCAAACCCGGAGGCAACCTCTTGTTATCACCTGCACTCAGACAAACTTGCCTGGACAAATCGGGGCACCACTGGGATCTGGAGAGCAGCCTTTAACCACACGCCACAACCCCATAAAAATGAGAAAGCCCGAGAGGAGCTCTTCGGGTCGCTTCAGGATTCGGCCTGGGAGAGGACACACAGCCTGCTCTTCCCAGCCAAGCGGGAATCAATAGCGATCTGTTAGAAACTTCCCCGCAGCCTCCCGGCGCTTCGGCCACAGCGCGCGAGCCCCATCCGGGGGCACTCG